AAAGAAAGAGGAAAAAGAAAGAGGAAAAAGAAAGAGGAAAAAGAAAGAGGAAAAAGAAAGAGGAAAAAGAAAGAGGAAAAAGAAAGAGGAAAAAGAAAGAGGAAAAAGAAAGAGGAAAAAAAAGAGAAAAAAGAGAAAAAAGAGAGAAAAAAGAGAAAAAAGAGAGAAAAAAGAGAAAAAAGAGAGAAAAAAGAGAAAAGAGAAAAAAAGAAAAAAGAGAGAAAAAAAGGGGAGAAAAAAAAAGAAATGAAAAAAGAGAGAAAAAAGAGTAAAAGAGAAAAGAGAAAAAAAGAAAAAATAGAAGAAACGAAGATAAAAAAAAAGCAAAGAAAAAAAAAAGAAAAAAAAGAGGAAAAAAAAAAGAAAAAAGAGAAAAAAAAGAGTGTAAGCATCTAAATAAGAGCTAAGCAGAGCAGGCTGCACAGCCCCCCAGCACAGTTGCCCCTCTGACCCGCAGGACTCAGAGCTCGGGGCCGGGGCTGGGAACACACGGCTGGCTCTGTTTCCCCACAACACTTTCCTCTCCCCACTGCACCGTCTGCTCTGCCTGGGCAGGAACTGCAGATGCCAAGGGTGTCCAGCACCACCAGAGCTGCCAGGCACAGAGTCAGCCCAGGAGAGGGAGAGGGAAGGAGGGGGAAGGAGGAAAGGCCCAGCGATCCCACCAAACCCCTCTGGCACAGTCCTGCTGCTGTCAGCTCAAACGGGTGTTTTCACTCTGAATACCTACTTCGGTTTCTGTTTGTTTTATTTATGTGCTGACACACATCAAAACAAGCTGGCAATGATCCCTAAGGAGGCCCCATTAGCAACACAGCTCTGACTAGAGACCCGGGCTCTCTTATGGATCCAGCATTCTTCTGCCATCTCAAAATAAGAGGAACTGTCTGCCACAAGTTGCACACAAACTCAGATTTCAGAAGGTTAAAGAGTTCAAACACCACAAGCTTCCTCCTGTGCCTGCTCACCCAGAAGGTTTTTAAGCAGAATAAGGAGTGCCAGCCCCAGACACCACTGAGGCCAAAATGGAAACAACCAACAAATGTATGTGGTTGCATCTCAAGCATCACCTAACATGTGCTTTTAAAAATCACATGCCACGAGAGAGCAAACTAACAATTCATCAAAGGACTACAGGAGATTCACTCAACAGATCTGTGACAGTGTATGAGGATGAGAAGAGGATGTTCAGGGAATGTCAAACCGTTATTAATAAGTGCAAGCTGAATTCTGAATTAAACACGTGGTTTTGTGAGCAACTGGAACTCGCACAAGCAGCTTCATCGATGGATAAAGGAATTAATGACTCAGCTGTGAGCTGAATACATGGGTCTGTGAGCATGAGACAGACAAACAAGCTGACAGCAAATGAGAATGATTTCAGACTAAACTTTGGACTTCCAGTGCCAATCTGGATCTCTTCCACAAGCCTCTTGCATCAAGGCTTATGCTTACCACTCACTGTGCTACCTCCACAGGAGAAAACTGGGTAAGAAACCCTTTGCTGGAGGAACCTTTACAGCTGAAGGGGCCTGAAAGACTCTCACACTGAGCTGGAGAGAATGAGACTCTCAGGCAGGTGCTGTGGGAACGCTGCCCTGGTGTGGGATGTGTCTCCTGGAGTCCCTGCAGCCTTGGGAGTGCTCAGGGCAGCCAAGGAGCTGGGCCAGACAGGCTGGAGAGTATTTCTGAGTCATTAAGATCTCAAAGTTTTCCACTAAAAGTAAATGCATTCTAGGGATGGGAACAGAGAAGTAAGAAATCATGAAACAGGCTGATCCTGAACACAGAATGCTTTGGGTTGGAAGGGACCTTAAAGATTATCTAGTCCAACACACCTGCCACGGGCAGAGATGCCACTTACTAGTCAGGATACTCAGAGCCCCATCCAACCTGGCCTTGGACACTTCCAGGGATGGGGCAGCCACAGCTTCTCCGGGCAACCTGTGCCAGGGCCTCCCCACCCTCACAGGGAGGAATTTCTTCCCAATATCCCATCTAGCCCTGCCCTCTGGCAGTGGGAAGCCATTCCCCCTTGTCCTGTCACTATCTACCCGTATAAAAAGTCCTCCTCCCTCCTTTTTATTATCCCCCTTAAAGCCCTGTAAGGCTGCAATGGAGTCTCTCCAAAACCTCTCAAACCCTCTGATCGTTTCATGTATCACTACCCCTCTAAAGCAGCAGGAACCCACCTGTGACTCCTGACAGGCCACACCTTCCTAAAAAAGACGAGCAGGATTTCTTTCCTGTGATGGAGCAGGATGGAAACACTCACCCACAGCACTGAGGGCATGTTTGAGCTCCAGGGTGAAGGCCGTCAGCGGCACCTCCTCGGACACCGGCATGATCGCCACCGTGGACAGGTTGCTGGCAGGATTCCCAGCGTCCCACTTGCTGCTGGAGCTGTGTAATCCAAGAGGGTGACCTGTCAGGAAGGAAAGCACTTGCCATCAGTCAGCCCAGAAAGCCACAGCCTGGCTGTAAACAACGAAATGTCACCTTCAGGCAGGAAGGAAAGTGCCACCCAATTGCTCGACCCCAGAGAAATGGAACATCCTCCCCAGGAGAGTTCCCACATATTGCATTTTAAGAGGATAAAGATCAATTTCCATCATTTTTGGCTGCTGACGTAACATTTGTGAGGAGGAGTTAGGCAATGTTAAGACTATCTGGATGCCAGGAATAAGTTAAATGCAACATGCATTTACCTGACCTGGGAAGACAAGGATAAAAACCACTATTGAATGTCTTTGAACAGCCACAACTTTGGAACAGGCCCTGATTTAGCCCACAAGAAGAATCAGCTTAACTAACAGAAACTCCAAAATCTGTTTTAAGTATTAAAATACTCCAAAAATTAGCATTTATATTTATGGTATTCTTGAGCAAGGAAATAAATACTTGTTTCCAACGAAGTTCTTACAGAGGATGTTTATCTCCACCTAGTTTTATTTCTTTTGCAGAGCTTTACAGATATGGGCTTGGGAGCATTAAACTGAAATATGGAAGCTCTCAAGTAGCTGCAGAGTAACTGGGAAGTATCTCCAGTATAATTTGGTAGGATGAGTAAGGACAGAGATCTGGGCAGAGTAAAGCAGTTTTTGGCAGAAGTGTGCAATGACTGTTACAAAGATCAAGATCTTCCCAGATAGCTCAGATCAGAAAAATGATGGGGATGTTCTTCAAACTGGTTTTATTCTCATACTCTTTCCTTCCTCCTTAACTGAACCTTCTCAGACACTCTCACTCTGCTGCTAATGCCTGTCAACTCCAAGTACACAATAAATTCTGACATCTAAGTTGGGATTTCATGTCCTGCTTATCTCATTTCGCCCAGCAAAGACCTAAGATGTACCATTAAGATGAATTCTTGAGCTGGGCATATGGAAATACTTGATATACCCTGTGAAAAGCCATTCAAAGGCTCTCTGCCAGGGCAACAGTGCACTGCAGGACACAAAAAAAAATCAGATAAACTTTTTTTTCAAGTATATTCAGCAATTGAGTTATTCATTTCAAGTCTTCTCAAACAGCTCTGCACAGAACATGAAATAGTTTTTCCAACTCTTTTTGGTGATCTTCAAGAAGATATTTGTAGGTTCAAACAAGTTACACATCACAGCTCAACCCCTTCATCTCCACCAGCCCTTCCCTCCTCAGATCTTCAGTGGTGATTCTCTGAACTCCTGTAACTGTCACTAATTTCCCTCCAGTTTTCTCTATTTTCCCTATTCTGCCCTGTTTCCCAAACAGTGCAGACTCTGCCCAAGGCCACTGAGGTTTAAGCACAGTTGTCACCAGGCATTTGTACACAGCTGGTTGTGCCCAGAAAGCTGAGCGTGTGAAGAAAGAGCAGAATTTGAGATTCCCTCCTCAAAACTGCTCTGAAACAGGAGAGTTGGTGACCCCATTTTCAGTCTCCTTGGAATATTGCAAAAAATATAAAAGCAATAAAATAATAAAAGTAATTAAACCCCCACAACCAAAGAAAACCCAAACAATCCTCAACAGCAAAGAACCCCACAACGCCCTCAGTAGTCAACATGTGTCTCTTCTTTTAAAAGCTGCTGAAGCAAATTGGGAAAATTTCCTCCTACTCCCTTCAATCAGTAAATAGACTTTGAGTTGGTGCTGCCACAAACACAAAGCTTCAGAACCAACCCATAGCAGACCCTTTCCTCCCAGACAATTCATTAAAAGAATGCAAATACAGACATATTAAGTCAGTCTCTGTGCAGGTGCCACTGAGCACAGCTCTCTGATTCCAGCCCACTACAGCTGCTATTTCCAGTGTTCCCTCTGCACTGCTCTTGCAAGAAATGCCAGGGAAATTTCACTGCACACAGGCAGCAGCACTTTTCTATCTCAACTGCAAATCACTCCATTCCCACACTTAGTTAACCATGCTCTGCCAAAAAAAATGTGTACACGTAATAAAATCACCATCCACTTGTGCCAAAAGCTATTACAGATCACAGGATGGTTTGGGCTGGAAGGGACCTTAAAGCTCATTTCATTCCACCCCCTGCCATGGGCAGGGACACCTTCCACCAGCCCAGGTTGCTCCAAGCCCCGTCCAGCCTGGCCTTGGACACTTCCAGGGATCCAGGGGCAGCCACAGCTTCTCTGGGCAACCTGTGCCAGGGCCTCCCCACCCTCACAGGGAACAATTCCTTCCCAATATCCCATCTAGCCCTGCCCTCTGGCAGTGTGAAGCCATTCCCCCTTGTCCTGTCCCTCCACCCCTTGTCCCAAGTCCCTCTCCAGCTCTCCTGGAGCCCATTTAGGCACTAGAAGGGGCTCTAAGTTCTCCCTGGAGCCTTCTCTTCTCCAAGCCAAAATTTAATGACAAATTCTCTTTCCAAGTATGTGCCATTTCCAGATTTAAGAATGTAAGTCTGGCTCCAAGGAAGCCCAAGTAGTCCAGGAATGAGTCTTACCTCCCTGCTGCAAACTGCCAAGGATCTTCTCTCCCAGCAAGTGAATAAGTCGAGTCACAACCTGGCGATGGGAGAGAGAGAGAAAATAAAAATAAACAAACATTCAGGCAGAATGTACTGAAATAGAGCATCCACACACCCAGACTTCCAAACTTTAAGATGCTCTCTCAAGTTGAACCTCACAGAGACAAGGGTTTAGAGCCATAACTTCTTTCCTGGCTGTAACAGCCAGTGACTGATCATTTGTCTTGATTTCTTTTACCCTATTTTACTTTAATTTGGAAAAACAAGAAAACAAAACAACCCCACAAAAGGCAATGTTTAACTTGCTTTAGAAACAAAAGAGGAAAATCTGATTATTTGGGGAAACATGTCCAATTGCATCTCAGGTTCTCCTCATTTCTCTCTGCAGGGCACCTGCACCTCTCAGTCACTCTCACCCCTCAGAGGCTGTTGTGCTCCTACACCTTTTGTAGGTGCTAAAGGCTCCAAAAGGTTCAAACCTGTGCTCCAACAGATCCCCCCAGGTTCCATCTGACCTCCAGTGAATGGTTTACAGTAACCAATTTAAAACATCTTGAAAAAAAAGCGATAAATGCACTCCCTAAACATCTGCAGAATCGGAACAAGCTGCCTAAGAAATTGTTTTCCTCCTCGAATTATGTTTGCCTTGTACCTTTGAAGGGACAGATGTTTTCCCAGCTGTTTTGCCAAAGGACTTACATCAATATAAACCAATATTCCAATAGCCAAGTGTATCTCCAAACTGTCAAGCCTCTCTCCAGCATGAACAATCAATAATTCCTGACAAGTGGGGTAGCAGAAGACTAATCATTGCAATAGCAAGAACTGACAGACTTGGAAATGCAGCATTTATTCTGAAAGCTCTACACAGATGTTCTACCAAATAATAAAGAGAGTTATTTAAATATATTAAGAATAGGGCAATCATTAGATACTCTCCCCCAGACAAATAATTCAAGGTTAAAATAACTCAGGAGGACATAAAAAAAAACCCCACCAAAACTATCAGAACAAAATTTCCCCAAATTCTTAACAAGAGAAACAAGCAGCAGCACATGGAACCTGGGATCCTGGCACTGACAGACACACTGTTCCCACAGGAACAGGCACTTCAGGAGGCATCTTTCACAGAGAGGGCCATGTAGGCATCAAGACAGGTCAGCCTGTCCATCAGAACCATTTATATGACCTGCTTTAAGAAACAAAATCTACAGCAATAAACTGCCCTGACCTATGAAACTCTGGACACGAAGCACCAATATATTTTAAGTGTCTGTTCACTAAGGAAAAAGAACAAACAGGAGCCTTCCAACACAGGGTGAGCACAGAGTAAGAGCTAAACAAGGTTATTTCAGGGATTTCATAGAATGGCTGGGGGTGAAGGGACCTTTAAAGCCCATCTAGTCCAACCCCTGTGCAGTAGCAGAGACATCTTCACCTGGCTCAGGTTGCTCAGAGCCCCGTCCAACCTGGCCTTGAACGTTTTCAAGGATGGGGCAGCCCCAACTTCTCTGGGCAACGTGTGCCCCTTCTGTCCCATAACTGCAAGCTCCTGGAGATGCCACATGAACAATCTCTTCAGTGACCCAATTTAAACTTCTTTAGAGCCCCTCTTACTTGCCCCAAGAGCAGACACACAGTGTCCACAGCAGCTGCACCAAGAGCACCGATGCAGCTCAACCCGCTGCCACCACCGAGGGATGTTGGAATGACGGTGGCTCCTGATGGCAGACAAGCTCTCAGCCTCCTCCTTCCTCGTCCTGGGACCTCAGACAGGATATAAAACGCTTCCATTTGTCCAAAATATAACAGAAGCTGACAATCACCCAACCACACGACCCGTTACCACTCCAACACCTCCAAGACCTGTGGTTCTGGGATTCACTGAACGGCGCTGGTGGAGCTACGGAAAACTGCCCCAGCTATGGGGAGAGGGGAGGAAATGAGGGAATCCTTAACAGAAATGAGACTGATTATCCTTCCTAAGGGACATGACCTGCCCCAAACACCTTCACTACACCCAGCTCACATGCATTCACCCAAACCCGCCCCAGCCCAGCAGGACCTTCCCTCAGCAGTTTTGGGAGGTGCTATGAACATTTTACACTTCTGAAGCACTCCGGCGTCAGAATTTTAATTACTTACTAAAACCATCTCCTGTATTTATAACTTTTTCTGCTTTACAGGCAGCTAAGGAGAGCTCCAGCTAAGTTACAAAATATGTCCAAGGTTAATGATGGAACTAAGAATAGAACCTATTGGTCTCATTTTCCAGTTGGCTGCTCCTATTACCGGGAAATATTATTTGTCTTGTTTGCTGGAGCAAACCTTACAGCCTTGGGATGTATAGATAGGGAAAATTATTTCCCTGGTGACTTTGTACAACAAGAAAGCTGCAAACCATAATGGGATGAGTCACTGTCGCAGTCATGGCAACGTCGCAGGAACATCAGTTTGGGATCGGAGCTAAGAACTGGCCTGAAATTTCCGTGGGGTTTTATATCACAGACACCAGACATCCTGCCACAAAAAGGCAATGTTTTCTTTTAAAAGAGACTTGTCCATCCATCTGAGGGAGAAGTCAGTGTAAATCACATCCCTCCATCGACAAGAGACCCAACCTTCCAGGACTGACCCACAGCCCTCACTGTGCAGGGCTGCCAAATTCAGGGCAGCCGGGGAGAGCTGCAAACCAACGGGGAAAAATCATCCTTCAGGCTTCCAAGCACCTTTATTCTCCTCCCTCCACCCAGCACAAGGGCATGAGAAGGAGCAGGACAGCTGGATGATGATGACAAGGAAGCCAAGGGACCTGGGAGAGGAGTGGGATTGTGTGGAGGGGGCTGGGATAGCTTGGGCAGGGAGGAGGAGGAAGCAGGCAGGAATCAGCCCTTGGGTTAGGAGCTCTCTGACAGGGATTGAAGGGAAAGAGTTATTCCAAGTGTGCCTGGAGGAGATGGAGGCAGGAGAAGGGCAGGTAACAGGGTGCAGACAGTGCAGACATCTGGGCTGTGATTCAGCCCAGTCACTCATCCCCACCCTGCCTGTTCAGCTGTATTTCATTGGAAAATCGAGGTGGGGGTCATTCTCTTCTCCCAGGTAAGAAAGGGCAGGACAAGAACAAACAGCCTCCAGTTGTATCAAGGGAGGTTTAGGTTGGATATTAGGAAACATTTCTTCACTGAAAGGGTGGTCAGGCTGCCCAGGGCAGTGGTGGAGCCACCACCCCTGGAAGTGTTCAGAAATCATGTGGATGTGGCCCTTGGGACATGGGTTAGTGGTGAACATGGTGGTGCTGGGGTGGTGGTTGGACTCGATCTTGGAGGGCTTTTCCAACCTTGACAATGCAATGATTCTATGGAAGCTCTAGGAATTGGCAGTGAGAGTTTGGGCAGAGGGGGAAGGCAGGAATTCTGGTGGCACAGTTATCCCATTTCCACGGCGTCACCGTCACCCGGGGCTGCGCTGCCTTCCCAGTCGGAAGCGTCTGCCGTGCTCATCCCTGCGGCACATCCTGGATTTTACACTCTTCTAGCACCAACCACCCAGCCCTGCAAACACACCTCCTGCTGGCACAGGACCAGGTGGTTTAAATGTAAGGTTTGAAGAGAAATCTGCACTGCAAGAAGGCAGCCAGTTGGAGCCCAGACTTATGGAGGAACACCAGGAGGTTTCTAAATTAGGAAAGGATCATTAATTGCCTGCAAAGTGAATGCAAGTTTTGGACTCCTCATGCTATGGATAGAGCTGAGCTTGGTTTAGTTTGGGAGAAAGTTGAATTAATCCTTCCTCATGACTAGGAGGTGCACTAGCATCAGTTAATCAGAGTTAATCACTGCGACCGATAACGAGCAGTGGAGCCATTGATCAGACACTTCTGCTGTCAGGCCAGGTGTGCACAGAGCCTTAAAACTGAGGTTCCCACCCAGTGCTCCAGGCTCAAGCTGGGAAAAGACTCAAGGAAGGTCACAGGGGCTTTGCCAGCACCTAAATATTCACTACAGGGGCTCACGGTGCAAGTCAGGACTCTGGAGCCTGACCTGGGAAGATGCCTGAGTGAACTATCAAAAATACCCCCAAAGCAGACAAAATCCCACTCTCCTGAGCTTATGCAAAAGAGTTTTCAGGCCAGAAGGAAAAAATCTGACCTTACAAGTCTAAAATATTGAGTAAATCTCCATCTCAAAAGCTACTTGGGGCTCCAGGGCATCAGTTCTGTTCCACAAAAGCCCCCAAACCCCTCCTTCTCTCCTGGACACCACTGCAACTGCAAATCCATCCCCCTGGCCCAGAGCAGGATGTTGAGATACACATTTTGCAAGGGAAATAAACCATTCCTCCTCCTCCTGCCACCCACTCCCCTTTTCAGATTAACTCCCAGAACACTTTTGTGCAGGGCACAACAGGATAAAGTGTTTTCCTATTTCTCATATGGTGTTGGAGAACACTTTCCTCAGCACAATTCCACCTTTCTGACCCGGCTTACCACTCTCCACTTCATCTACCTTAGAAACACATTGTTTTCCTGGCTGCTTCTCAATCAACTCCATCCCAGTAAGACCCACCCAGGCTCTCTCACCATCCCAAAGCTCCCTCCTATTGACTGTGACAGTCTGTTCCTGCAGCTGCTACGGAGCAGGCTCTGGGAAATCATTAATTTCCCCTCTGCTTAACTAATGTTCATGGAATCATGGAATCATAGAATTATAGAATCAGCTGGGTTGGAAAGGACCTCTGAGATCATCCAGTCCAACCCTTGATCCAACCCCGCCGTGGTTCCCAGCCCATGGCACTGATGCCACATCCAGTCTGTCCTTAAACACCTCCAGGGATGGAGAATCCACCCCCTCCCTGGGCAGCCCATTCCAATGGCTGAGCACCCTCTCTAAAAAATTTCTTCCCAATATCCAACCTAAACCTGCCCTGGCACAGCTGCAGACCCAGCCCTCTTGTCTTGCTGAGAGTTGCCTGGGAAAAGAGACCAACCCCCCCCGGCTCCCCCCTCCTGTCAGGGAGTTGTAGAGAGTGAGGAGGTCT